CTCAACACTCTTGACATTTGGGACCAGATGATTCTGTGTAGTGAGGCTGTCCTGTAGGATGGTCAATGGCATTCCTGGCCTCTATCACCAGATGCCCGTATCACCCCACCCCCCAACCAAGTTGTAACAAACAAAAATGTCACCAGTCATTGCTCCATGCCCCGCAGGTGACCATCCCCAGTAGGAGCCACTGGACTAGAGCAACATCCAACTCTCAGCTTCCAGGAGTTTAGTAAAGCGTCACACATAACTCAGACACAGGGTCTCTCGAGTAAGAGCTGCCCTCATAAGTACAGACTTACAGCTGCTTTGGAATCAGAGATCTGGTTTCTAGTTAATGACAGCTCTCTCATTAACTAGCTTGATGACCTCTTGTGAGTCCTCCCTTCCTCATTATTAAACCAGGAATAAATAATATCACCTCTGGGACTTGCTGTTGAGAAGGCAGTGAGATAATTTACACAAAGCTTCTAGCCCAGCAGCTCAACAAGCACCAAAGGCATTTAATAAACATTAACCCTTCCCTGGTGAAAAGGCAGGCAGCCCAGCTTCTGTCGTCAGACACACGTGGGATCCAGAGTTAGAGGCCCTGGCCCCAAGGCCTGCCTCAGCCACTTGGTAGCTGGGCAAGTGTGGGAAGCCACTCTTCCTTCTTTATAAACTAGAAATGATAAGCAACCAGTAGGTGAAAACCAAGCCAGGGGCTTTGGTGCATCGCTTGGTAAGCTAAACCACCACCAGATAAGTGCTGATGATTATTACTATCAGATCTTTGGAAGAGTTCTGAAAAGGAAAGAACATGCTCTTTAACAAATCCAAGAACTGATAATGCGGTAACATCAGGGTAAGGTACAGGAGAAAAAAAAAGAAAACTAGTAACAGGAATCCTTAACCTCCCCGATCCTTTTACGTATACAACCGCCAACTGGTGACCCACACACCAAATCTAGCCTCACACAGTATCATGGTGGTTGTTTAATTTGCATTAAAGGCCACCTGATATTCATTAAAATCCAGATGTTAGGCCTTTCTTGAAAACTCCAAAAGTGGTCCCATAGTCCCACATGCCCCTTTGGTGAGACAAGTGCTGACGGGGGTCCCCTGTGGCCCTCATCTGTTCTAAGTCACTCTGATTTTACTAGCTTGGAGTTTGTAACCTTGATTTATCTAAAGGTTACTGTATGGAAAACATTTGGACCTGAAGGGAGTACTTCAATCTTGGCACAGACCAACACCCAAGGAGACACTCCCTTCCAGAGTCTCACCTAGGTAATAAACTAGCCTACTTAGTCTCTGATTCTTTTTCTTCTTGACACTTCTACCTCATAATTAAATGTTCCTTGAGTTTCTCATGCTGGTATATACCTTCCTCCACTCAGCGATCACCCTCCCCCAAACCACCAACCACCTAAATCCATCCAGTGGCTTATCTGCAACAGGGATTGCTTTTCTTTTTAGAACAGGACTACAAACCTCTTTCTTTTTAGAAGAGAACCACAAAAGACATGTCGTGATACTTCCTGTATCCTGACCAGCACGTCTTCTCCCCTCCTGCTGGTAAGAGCGCCCCAGTTATCTCTGGGGGGCCAGCACTCCCCCATTCCCAGTCCATGTCATTTGGGTGGGGCTCACTCCATTCCCATTTCCAGGGCAAGGCACGTGACACAGCCCGATGCATTCAGAGTCAATCCTGGGGCTCTGGCCACACTGAAAAGTATTCTCTGTCCCTCTGGGACTTGAACTGAGGATGATGGAAAACTGGGCGGAGATGGGGGGGGGGTGTCTCCTTGTGGACACAGCCCATCTAGAGAGTGGAAGCCCTCGATCCAGCCCTGGCTGCAGCTATACTACTTTCGGACTCTTTTGGTCTCATATGAGCCAATCAAATTCCCATCTTTGCTTAAGGTAATTCCAGTCGGGTTCTCTTACAAGCAAAAGAGACATAATCAATACAAGAGAAAAGTGAAAGCTGCACTTAAAGATGGAGGGGAAAGGCTCTGCTCCAATTTTTGCCTGGTTTGTTGGTTTGGTTTTGTTACATCTCTCCATCCACTAACAGTGGAGTTTTCGCTCACTCTATTAGCCATCCCCCTCTAAACACTCATGGCATATAATTATTTTTTGCTTGTCTACCTCTTCTACAAATCTACTGAGTCCCTTCAGGGCAGAAACTGGGTTGTGTTCACTTTTGATTCTTTAATACCTTGAACAATGGCATACAGTGTGGGCTTAACAAGTGCTCCTTGAACGAATGAATCAACCATCCTAATTCTCTTTGGGACACCCATGTCATGAGACCACTGCATTAGCCTTGTGCCTGTGATACACAAACCATTTTCTGAAACAGACTCGTCATCCCATTGTAAACAAATTGCATCATTAGAACTCACTCCTTCCAGCCATTACTAAGTCTCTCACATGTTCATCCCATGGAACCTCGCTGTGGGGTTGCTCACAAGGCCCTCCTTCTTGAGAAGAGGACATTGCCTTGCAAGACTCTATGAATTAATAAGACACCCGATGGGGGTGCCATTCGCACGTGGAACTTCATTTGTGGGCAGAGGGGGCCTTCTGTGCTCTGCAGCCTTCCTCTTGACTCCAACGCGCCCGCTTCTGAGGTCTACCAATAACCCAGTAACACACCATCACAATTCTGGGCTCTCTCTTGCCTCTGTTTTTCCTCCCCAAGCTTTTACAATTACGTGAGTGGAAGAAATACAAATACATCGAGGAAACTGACAGTAGTAAAGCAAAAGCTTCCCCAGTAAACATAAGTTTTTGACTTTGGGAGCATAACTGCCACACCCTTCAGAGCTCTGTAACAGCCTCGGCTTCCCCTGGCATGGAGCAATAAAGATTTTCAAACAGAGTCAAAGGTCAGGGCCAGAATTACAATCCCAGGATGAATCACCATTTACTCTATCCAGTTTTCATTTTCCCATACTTGGGCTCACACCACCAGGGCGATCTGGTAAGAACTACATTTACACTAGATTTGATGATCTTGGTAATGTTTCCACCCGACACTGGGAACCACAGCAGACTCTGGGAAATGAAAGAGAAAGAAAGACAGCCAAGGGCTCTCTCAAAGCATTTAGTTTCCTGGAGAATGATACCAAGTAAAAAGGCAACTTGCATTATAGAAAAACAGGTGCTGGGTGGAATTACAAAAGTGCCCGGGGTTGGGGCCATCCAATCTCTGCTGGAGCACCGGGGAAGGCCTCTTACAGGCAGAGACGTTTGGCTGGAGAGCTGAACAATGAGTTAGGAGGTAGCTACAGGGCAGGTGTGGAGAAAGGAGTCCCAGAGATTTTCAGGTAGGGGCTAACAGGTAAGAATGCTCGGGCTGCTCTGGAAAAGAGGGCCACGTAAGGTGGGAATCCAAGGGAGAAGAGAGAAGCTGCCAGAGGAAGCAGAGGCCAAAGAGACCCTAACAGGCCTGGCAGCTTTAAAAGCCTGAAAACTTTGTGCAAAAAGAGCAGACACCCCTTTCCCGACAGTGTACCAACAGGCCAAAACGACAATGTGACAAGTATGTCTTGACAGTCCCTGAATGTTTGATTTCGCACTACTGGGTCACTAAGAAGGCTAAGGAGGGGGGCGGGGGCGTGGGGGCAGGTAAGAAAACTCACAAGGAATTACCTTATGATTCATTTGCAGATTCTTGGTTGAAACAACAGCCCCTACTACTGCCCTGTCTACCTCCCTGTCAGCATTAGTTCTGCCATTTTCCTACAAATGACAGAAAAGCAGGCACCGCTGGGCTTCAGGGCACAGGCATCAACTCCGGAGACATAAACGCACATTAAGATAATAGGGTGGGGTAGCAACAAAACTAAACAACAAAACCAAGGCACTAAGCAAAGAGTTTGGGGAATGGAGGGAGGCGGGGAACTGAAACCCTAACAAGCAAATTTAGAAAACGGGAGGGGAAGTAAAAGTATTTTCCTACACACACACAAAAAGAGCTGTCCCCACGTGCTCTGGCCAAACCAAACTCCCCCTTTGACTCAACTGCTGAAAAAAAAAAAAAAAAGAAGAAGAAGAAGAAGCCAAAGCTGTGAAAAACTCACACTTTCATACGTCTTCCCAGAATAGTCAGTAGGTACACTACAGAGTACAGCTAACTGCCCTAGAAGACCTTGAAAGATTTGCCCCAGATAACAGGGCACATGACAATCCCCGCGAGGAGCTCCCAGACCCAGCAACCCTTCCTGTTCCAACAACCTGATCGTCTACACCTGCGGGCTCGTCTGTCCTTTCATAATCGATAGTGTTTCCTGTCCAGCATTCAAGCGGTACCAAGGAAACCTGCAGAAGGATCTGCTTCCAAACAGAGTAAGATTTTTTTTTTTTTTTTTGGGTCCAAGGCGTTTCCACAATTCTTTCCTCCTCCCAGTTGCACATTTCTAAATGTCAGGAACTTGGGCAGTCCGGTCCTCAGCACCCCCCCCCCGCCCCGGTTTGCAGACGGCAACGCCTCTCAAGTCCCAGGAAGGCCGTCCCAGGACCCCCCCCCCCAGGCGGATGCGATGCGCCCCAATCGCCCCTTCCTTATTCAGGGCCAGAGGGGCTGCAGCCGTAGGGTCTGCGGCGGCCGGGGCGCCCCGGAAAGGGTGAGAAGGCCGCCCCGGAGCTCGGCACCCGCACGGCTCCGGGCACACCCGACACCAGTTTTCGCCCGGGGCAAAAGCACGACGGGGGCCGCGGAAGGGTCGCGGCCTGCGCCACCGCCTGCCCCCCGGGACCCCAGGCCAGGCGCCCGGGAGCCGCGCCGGCCCGCTGCTTCCCGGCCCTCGGCGGCGGCCCCGAGCTGCACGCCAGGCCGCGGAGTGGCGCAGCCCCGACCGGGGCTCCCGCGGGCCTGGCGCCGGCGGCTGGAGGCCGGAGCGGGGGCGCGCGCCGGGGAGCACCTCCCGCCCCCGCCCCCGCCCCCACGCGCCCCCGCCCCACCCCGCCCCACCCGCCACCCCGCGCCCCCGCCGGCCGGGCGCACTCGCCTGCCCACGGTCTGGTTGGCCAGCTGCTTCATGCGGTTGAACTGCTTCTTCATGGCGGCGGCGGCGGCGGCGGCGGCCGGGCTCGGCCGGAGCTGGGGACGGCCTGGCGAGCCTACATCGCTTCCCGGCGGCGGCGGCGGCTCCCGGGCCGGCGCCCCGCCCTCCCCGCGTCACTTCCAGCGGAGCCGCCCGCCGGGGCCGCCCTGCGGGGTCGGGGCTCTGCGGGCGCCAGGCGGGGGGGGAGCCGCGGGGCCCGCCGCCGCCCACGCCGCCCAGCCCGGCCCCGGCACGCCCGCAGGTGGCGGCGCGGCGTGGGGCAGACGCCCTGCTCTGCGGGGCCGGCCGGGCGCGCTCGGAGCCTCCGGGGCTGCAAATGGCCAAGGTCCCGGGCCGGCCGCCGCTCTGCAATCGGGATCCGCTCTCCTCTCCTCGGGGCGAGGACGCGCGTCACTGTGTGCCCTTGACCTCGATTAATAAACTAATGTTGCGTGGCAACCAGAGTCCGCGGACCGTGGGAGTGGGACACCACGAGGCGGGGAGGAGGGGCCAGGTGCACGTGGGCAGCTCCGGGGCCCACCCGGGACAGCCAGCGCAGCGGGGAGCAGGGGAAGGGGCCGGCCCTGGCGGGGCAGTCGGGGGGACGCGTGGCGGGGGCTGGGGCCGGGGCCGGCCGGGGCCGCAGACGGCCTTCAGAAGGCCCGAGGCCGGGGATCCCTGGGTGGCGCAGCGGTTTGGCGCCTGCCTTTGGCCCAGGGCGCGATCCTGGGGAGCCGGGATCGAGTCCCGCGTTGGGCTCCCGGTGCATGGAGCCTGCTTCTCCCTCTGCCTGTGTCTCTGCCTCTCTCTCTCTCTCTCTCTGTGTGTGTGTGTGTGTGTGTGACGATCATAAATAAATAAAAATTAAAAAAAGAAGAAGGCCCGAGGCCTTGCCTTGCCACTCCCGGCCTGCTGCAGCGGAACCGGGGCGGGCGTTGCCTAGAAACGCATCATTGTCCTTGGGTTCTTAGCCTTGCGCAGGCATCAGTTCTGGGACACTTGGCGGGGTAGTCCGACCGGGCTGGACGCTTTTTGCGAAGTGGACCAGATCGGTTCTATGACCCGCACAAATGCTTTCCTGGACCCGTGGCCTGGGCTCTGTCCTAGGCCGTTTCCGAGGGCAAGCGGACGGCAGTGAGACTTCCATCACCGGCCACAGCTTCAGTGTCACCAGAGATGTGCCGACGAAGGGAAGGGAAAAGGTGGATGAGGTACCTGACTCTGGGAGAAAGGAGGACGAGGTGAGTCGGGTGACCTTAACATCACAGAATGAGAGACTTAAAACTCTGTGTAGTGATCCAGCAGAGAAGTATGAAGCTTCAGAGCTTCAACTAAAGCAGCAGAGTGCTGGCTACCGACATCAGCTCCAAAAGAACCAGGTACAAATAGCACTGCTTAGCGAAAAACCACAAGGGACCGAGGAGGAATTGCTGGGGCCGCGGTCAGCCGCTCCGAGGGTAAACTCTGCAGCTGGTGGCCAACTGTCAGCCATGGAATCTCATTCCCCCAGTTTCGATTTCGGTCATCACGCTTCACCTTTCCACGGTGACGCCGTGGACTTTGCTGATGTGATCTGGTCACAGCAAGAAATAAACAGATTGTCAAGTCAAGTCTTAAGACTTGAGGCCGAAGTCAGTCATTGGAAACGTCTTTCCCAGGCTTCGGTGCAGGGAACGAATAGCCTAGAGCCACTCAAAATCCGCAACCTGCAGAGTACCATCAGGGAACTGGAGCAGAAGCGAAGCAAGGAAATTGAGGATCACCAACTCGAAATGGCAGTACTGCAGAACGTCCACCGGCAGAAGCTCGCAGACGTCATCCGCAGGTACCGCGGAAAACTGAACGGCCTTGAGGAAAAGGTTGAAGAACTGCAAAGCCTGTTACAGAAGGACACCTGTGCAATCAGAGTAGCCGATGACCCTCCGATTGAGCACCTGCAGAAAACCATTCAAGTTCTACAAACTGAAAAAGCAGAGTCTGCCAGGAAAATGGAAGAACTGGAAGAAAGAATACAATCCCTAAGTGACCAACTATCTTCTGCAGAAAGTGAAAGAGACGTTTTGAGGAGAGAACAGGACCAGACACCTGAAGGAAGGACAGACAAGATCGAGGAGTACGAACTGCAGCCTTCCGTTTCAAAGAGACGTGATGCAGGAGTCACGCAGGAGAGCGCTCTTTCAGGGTGTACACCAGTGGAAGAAGGGTTCGGACTGCAGGAAGCACTGTCCCACGCCGGAAAGGGAACGGTGAGACTGTGTGGCGCCGACCAGGGCAACAACGATCTCACGCAAGACGCTCTGAAACTTCCAGAGCGAGTCCACATTGTGGGGCAAGAGAATTCATCGTTAAGCCGAGGAAAGGAAGAACTTGGACCGCCGCTTCCTAAAGTGAACGAGGAACAAGAGGCCACTGAACGCACAGCTCCGGGAGACATCGCCTCGCATTCAGAAGTACATCCGTTAAGACGAGACTCGGAGGCCAACGATCTAAACTTCAATCAGAGGACAACGGAGGAGGAATCCCTGGTAGCCGCGTCAGGGGAACCGTACGGACACGACGGGACCACACTGCCCGGGGCTTCGATGGAAGGCCAGCTACCACAACAAGAAAATGAAGGCAGTAGCATCACCATTAAACTAAGACAAGAGGTCGATGAGGAAGAAAAGAGAGCTTGTCAACCTGAAGATGAGACGAGCGCGACTACAGAGTTAGATGCGCAGAAAGAAAAGTTAATTCAAAGTGAACTGGCGCCTAATGATTTGCATCGGCCAGATCGGTCAGAAAGAGGTCACCTCAACATCCAGAAGGAGGCCTCTGAACCTCAGGAACATAGTAAACAAGACGAGAAGGCCCTCCGTAGTGCCACAGAGGAGCTAACGGAGTCTCTTAAGCAAGACTCTCCCGGTCATCCGGAAGACGACTTAGTTAGAGCGAGGGAAACTGAGCTTAGAAGGCTGGAACAAAAGGTTTCAGAAATGGAGCAGCTGAATGACCTTCTAAACAGACACAGCACTGATCTCAGAGAGGAAAACCACAGGTTGGTCTTGGCGCTCAAAGATACAAGACATCAGCTGGAACAATCTATTCTCCGTGGCAATGAGGATTCTCTGGAAAAAAACACCGCTCTGAGGGCTTTAAAAATCGATAAAGGACATTTAATAGCCAAGCTGTGTCGGGCGGAGAAGAAGCTTTTGGAAGCAACAAACAAGTATGATCAAACCATCAAAGAGTTGTCAAGCACACGTAACCCGGATCATTCGGCCTCACCTCTGGAGCGTGCCCGCTTCGTTCAAGTGGGTCCAGAGAAGGACGTCGAAATATTACACCTCAAGAAGAGTCTCGAGCAAATGGATGCCGACCATAAAGAAACCCAGGAAATCCTGGCCTGCGTTTTGGAGGAACACAAGCCACTGACGCAACTAGTCAAAGAGAAAGACATTTGTATTGACAGCCTTAAAGGAAGTCCAGAGCTTCCAGAGGACCTGGAAACGTGTACCCAAGCCTTAAGAAGAAATGAAATTTTACAGCAAGCCGTGGAGGAAAAAGACACACCCCTCACATCCACGACGAAAGAAAATACTCACCTGAGAGAAGAACTGGAGCGACTAAAACAACAGAGTCAGGCTTTCCCTAAACTCCCAGATGACATCATGGAACTAGAGTGTGAGGTGTTGCAGCTGAATGAACTAAGAGTGGACCTCGAAGACGAAATAAAAGAACAACAGAAGATCATTAACGATCAACAGCAGGGGAGGATACGACTGCTTCATTCCCTGGAAGAGCAGACGCGGGAAGTGGACCATCTTAAAGGCCAGCGGGAGCAGATGACCAGTGAGCACGCTCAGCTCCTTTCCGCCAAAGACGAGGAGATTCAGAATTTGCAAGACACGGTAGAACACGTTAAAGCCCAGCTGGCCGCCCCAGGCCGGCACGTCGCAACACAACCTTCTGACGCTGTCCAAGGCGCGACAAGGCAGCATGACGTCTCTAAAGCCGAGACGGAAAGATCGGCACAAGGAATAGAAGACCAAGAACTGGGAGGGAAGCTTCTAACCGAAAAGAACATCCGGCTGACTGAACAGACCGATCCGCTGTCCCAGGATGACCTCGGCAAACTAACTCGGATCATCGAGCAAAAAGATGCGGAGATTCAGGGTCTTCGGAGCAGAATATCTGCGGCTTCTCACGGCCAGCACGTAGAGCAGCTTCAGCGGCAGTTGCAAGAGTCTGCTCCGCAAAGCGAACGGGCACTGGCTGTCTTAGAGGACAAAACGAGAGAGAATAGCAATCTGAAGAGAGAGTATCACAAAGTGATAGACGTAATTGCGTCCAGAGAAGCAGACCTCAGGAAAACGCAAGAGGAAAATAAAAAGCTGGCCACTCGAATTGAAAATCGTGGTCAGGATATGTTTAGAGAAACGATTCGGCATTTATCCCACATTATTCGAGAGAGAGACCTCGAAGTCGACGCCTTAAGGCAGAAGTGTCAGACTTTATTGACAATTCTGCAAACACCCAGCACCGCTGATGAGGTTCCAGGCGTGCCCGTGCATCGGTTCAAGGAGCTTCTAGAGGAACGGGACACATTCAGGCAGCGAGTGAAGATAATGGAAGAGTGGAAGCAGCAGGTGGCGGCCACAGTACAAAATATGAAGCGCGAGTCACCCCGGCTTCAGGAGCTTCTTCGACAACAGCAGGTGCGGGCCTTAACCGACATCGACGGTGATTCTGAGCTAGAGACGACCTATAGGGACGTGATCAGAGATTACAGAGGAAATGAAAACAGCCTAAGGAATCTGGAGAAGGAACTGGCACAAATTCAGCTCCGCGTCGGGGAGCTCTGCAACGCCCAGGATCGCCTTCTGGGGAAGCTTGACGTGAGCTGCCTCCAGCCCTCCACCCAGTCCTCAGAGTCGGAGGAACCTCTGAAGGCCTTTACATCGGACTCAGCGACTGAGTCTCCTCCGTGGCTCCAAGAGGAGGTGGAAGAGCTGAGGAAGTCAGTGCAAGACCGAGAGACGACGATTCGAACCCTGCAGGAAGACAACCAGAGGCTGATGCATCGCGCTGCTGCCGCGTCAGAACGCGAACGCAAAGCACGCGAACGCGCCGATTCCGAAATCCAGCAGCTGAGGGAGGAAGAGGCGGTTCTACACAACTTAATCCAGGCTAAAGAGCTCCTGATCCAGGCGAACAGCGAGGAGTTGCATTCCTTAACGCAGGACCTCACTGGCCAAGCGAGTGAAAATGAGCTGTTGAGGCAGGCGGTGAGAAACCTGAAGGAGAGAATAGCCGATCTGGAGACGGACGTGTGCCAACTGAAAGAGGAAAACGAAAAAAGAGCGGAATCCTCTAGGGAAAAGGAAGCAGAAAAGCAGGCACTGCAAGAGGCCAACGTGAGGCTTTCGAGGATGTGGCAAGAGGAGGAATCCCGCCACGCTGCGATCGAAGCCAAGGCACTTGCTCTGCAGCAACTACTGAGAGAGCGAGAAGAGGGCGAGGCCCGGGGACGGAATCAGCTTCCAGATGCAGCTACGTCGTCGCGGGAAAAGGCGGTCGTGTTCCAGCAGGAGAGTGTTCCAGCAGGAGTCCCGTTGGCGCTGAAACGCAAACAGAGGGAAAACTGTGCCCTCCAGGATGAGCTTCAGCAGCTGCGTGACAAGGAATCACACCCGAACCAGGAGCTGGGGAGAACGCGTCACCGCGCTGTGGAATCGGAGGACGCTCGGCAGCGTGGGTCTCTGCCGGCAGAAGACAAAGTGGCTAAGCTGCAAAAAGAAGTCACGGTGCTGGAGGAAAAGCTGGCGGTGTCCTCCAATGCCACGGCGAGTGCGACCCACCAGGCCAGTATGCAGGTGGAGTCCCTGCGGGACCAACTGCGCCTCATCACCCGACAGAAAGAGGAAACCGCGGCGCGGCTTTCTGCCTCGCAGGAACAAGGAAAGCAGTACGCTCAAACACTAGCCAGTCTCAAGTCGGAGGTAGCCGAGTGGATGGGAAAGACAGACACTCTACAAGGAAAACTGACGTCCTTACAGGCACGATTCACTACAACAAACACCGTCTTGGACCTGAAGGAAGACGAACTGGAGGAACTCAGAAAACAGAACGAGGTCCAGCAGGAAGTACTGGATGAGACGCACAAGAAACTGATGAACCTCGTAAGCCGCTCTGAAGGAATGGTGGACAAAACCCTAGTAAGGAGACTCTTACTGGGATACTTTCAGGCGCCTCAAAAGGATCGGCCTGAAGCACTGCGGCGGATGGGAGGCACCCTAGGGATCAAGGAGGAAGACGTGCGGCAGCTTTGCAGGGAAGAGCAAGGTGGGGTTATCAGATGCACGACTGGGGGGCCTGGATCCAAAAGTACCCCCAAGCCCCCCGTGAAGCCAGATCCCCAACCGACGCCCAAGAGCTCCTTTGCAGGGCTTTTTGTCAACTTCCTACAAGGGGAATCCGATTTAGCTCTTCCGCCACGCAGTCCCTCTGCTGCTGACAAGAAGCCTCCAGATTCGGTAGGAAAAGGAAAAGGCACTAAGGAAAAAGGCCCACGGCGGCACACAATCACCCTGGGATCCACACCCCCAAAGAAAGCTGCCAAGCCCCGCGCCACAGCTGTCTCTCTTACTGACCCACGTGGACCGGAAACTGACGGATCACGGCATCTTCTCCTAAATGCTGTGACTAATGCTTTACCCACGTACACACCCTTGATACTCTCACCTGCCAGCGAGGTTGGGAGCGCGGCCAGAGGCCTCTCAAACCAATAGAGGAGTCTCAAGCCCGAGACCACACGGCGCGTCCAAGAACACAGGTCACTGTGTGCGTCCCTCATCCCAAGAGAGCCTTTTGCAAAACGTACCATACGTTTGCAGTTTTGCTTTCAGCCTAATAAACATATTCTTACGTGACTTCTTTTAAAGTGTCTTGTACTGACTGCAGACGTATGGATTTGCCAACTTCAAAGAGGGCTTGCTTCTCATGAGAGACGACATGGGTGGGGGTTTGGGTTAGGAGGCTGTGGTCAACGGATACTTCCAATAGTGTTGGCGATGTTTTCATTTCTTTTGTACAAGGAGCACGTATCTACCGATACCTCGGGGAATGAAAACATCGACCCGTTTTTATGGTTTCTTAAGGTTTTCTTTTTGGATTCACGAGAGAGGCCGACACACCCGCAGAGGGAGAAGCAGGCTCCACGCGGGGGAGCCTGATGCGGGACCCCATCCCAGTTCCTTGGGATCAGGACCTGAGCCAAAGGCGGATGCTCAACCACCGAGCCACCCCGGGGCCTCTCAACCGGTTTTAATGTCAAACACACGAGCGCGTACTACTCCTCGTATGAGAGGGGAGGTGCATGGCATGCTCGAAAGTACAACATGAATTATTTCAAAAGAAAAATTCAAGTTCCATTTCCCAGCTAGGTAGGTCCCATTTCTTTTTCCTTTGATTTCTAATCCACCCCCCCTCCCCCGATGCTTTTTCTGTTGCCTAGAAAATCCCTCTATGAGTAACCTGATTTCTGTCGGGCCTATTAGAGATACACGACTATTTGGGAGTAGACCATTCTCCGACTTGCTGTTTCCTAACTTCAGTCTGCTTTAGAGACCTTTCCAAACGTGAATCCATCCCTACTGGCAGAAACTCTGCTGTTTACGAACGTAGCCTGAATTTTTGAAGTAGCTCCCCTTGATCAGCATTTGGGTGGCTGTTCGTCCAGATGTTCACGGTCATCTCCCTTGTTCATTTCCCAAGAAGCCATTCCAAAGCTTCATTTGCAGTTCAGGGCTAATTGCTCCAGTGTACCCTGGAAACGATCCATTCAGACTTCTTTAAAGATCTCATTCCGCTAATTTTCCATTCTGCTTTTTCGTCAGCCCTCCAAATATCTTCATTCTTTCCCTCCCTTTCTGTTCCCACTGCCCTCGTTCACCTACTCCTCTCTCTCTTACATGGACCCATGCCATCGATTCCCTTGTGAACTTGCCGGTTCCACTCTTGGCCTCCCTTGAATCCGTTCTCCGCCTTGCTGACAGGGTGAACCAAGGTGAAAATCGGATGTTACTTCCCTGCTGGACTTGTTTTAGCGGGAGTTTAAACTGTAACAGACCATCCAATCCTCGCCTTTGGGACCTTCCTACCAGCCCATCAGAACCAAAGGCAGAAGCTTAACCGACTGAGCCATCCAGGTGCCCCTGGAGTTGTATGTCTTTAACAGATGTGTCAAACAAATGTCCTCATGGTAGGATGTCATCAATGTGATGTCATATCTATATTCCCAGGGAAAGATGGAAGCAGTTAAGATCCTGCCTGCAAAGATTTGTGTGATAGCAGAACGGTATGGGGTCCCCGCGGATAATAAGGGAAAACTATCACCTTCAAGGTGTCTGCCTGGATGTTGACATAGGCACTGAACAGAACATATTGGCCAAATAAATCTGTAATAGCAATGTATTCACCATCTTTAAATCTGCTAGGCTCCCAGGTGTTCTTTTTTCTTTTTCTTTCTTTAAAAGATTTAATTATCTTTAATAGAGAAAGAGAGAGTGAATGAGAGGGCCCACATGTGAGCAGGGAGGAGGGCACACAGGGAGAGAGAATCCCAAACCAACTCCAATCTGAGCAGGGAGCCCAACACGGGGCTCGATCCTGTGTCCCCGAGATCATGACCTGAGCTGAAAGGTTAACCCACTGAGACACCCAGATGCTCCTAGGGGTCACAGGTGTTTTAAGGGTACCAGGTTTATTTTCCTCAGGTATGGTAAGACAGGAAGATCTAAAACACCGTCACAAAGTATTTAGACTCACTGTTCCCAAGAAAGGAGGTCCTGAGAGCCATGGAGGGCCACGCAGGGAAGCCTCAGGGTCAGTCAGAAGAAAGAGTGTGTGAAGGGAAAGCATGGGAAGACCCTTCAGAGTGGTTTCTGTGGGAAGGCACACTTGAGGCAGGGTCAGCAGGCTTAGGAGTGACTAGCTTGAATCATTTCAGTGGGCTCTGAGGCATAGTGTGTCTCGAGTTCTGTGTCCCTGCCCCTGGGTTGGTCAGGACAGGGGTAGTAGCCCAGAGTATTAGAGCTTCTTGGAGGAGGTGGTTAGGGGTGAGGGCTCTGAATCGGTTGGTTGACATATGAAAAGTGTGCTCACAGGCAAGCCCTTGACCATCTTCAGGAAGTCACCAAGCCTGCCAGGGACAGTACCTCCAAAGTGGGCAAGGCCTGAGATGTGAAAGCATTAACTACAGAAGTTAGACAATATGGTAATTATATCAGGTATAACCATAATTTGAACCCTAGTATTAAGTCCATGAAGCTTTGCCAACTGGGGCATCTCAGCGGACGCTCACGTTAATTCAGAACTTTTGTTGTAGAGACACAAAAGCCAATCGGCTTCCTTTTATCATTTGCCATATAAATTATTTTAGGAAATTTTGGATTTCCAATTGAATCAACTTGTCAACCCTTGTTGAATTAATTTGGGGGCCGGGGGACTCCTTTGGATCACTTTACATTCTTCCATTCAACTTCCTTTTTTTTTTGGTTTGTTACTGGATATACTTGTGGGTGGCAGAGTGTCTTTTTACCCTGCTCGTATTTCTGTTTTTTTCTTCCAGTCTCAAAGCAGCATCAGTAGGATTAGGGCCTTTGTCATGGCAATGGTCGTATGGTTTAGAGACTCCAGGCTTAAGTCAGAGTGTGAATTGTTGCCTTCACTGTGCCACAGGGATGCCTTGGATGCTTCCCCCCAACCATGAGGATCGGGATCTTTTGCCAAAGAGGTGTAGGCAGTGGAGTGGTGCACTGGAAGAGCGCAGGACCTGCAGCCCAGAGGCTGAGGAATAAAAACCATCTTCTGCTACAGGCCTGCTTTCCGTCAGTAGCCACTGCTTCTCATTCCCCCCTTCCCTCTGTACAGATGCCCTCAGGATACATTTTTTCATTTCTAGCCACATAAAGTCATGAGTTTTTTTGTCTGTCTCCATACAACCACACATCGGGAACATTTCTGGGTGTTTTCTATGGAGGAAGGGAGCTGGGGGTGGGTAGGCCCCACAGATGACTATCCTCTTCCTGTGGGAATGCCAGTCTCCCCAGCGTCGGAGTCCATAGCTAGTAAGACCATTTTGCTTATGGCCAGAGTGAGAGCCTCAAGCCCCTTGATCACAAGATTAGCCCTTCAACGTGCTGATAAGCACCAGCACTAGGCAAAATTCAGCTATGTCGCTTAGGGGTTGTGCACTGGGAGAGAAGTAGAATATCAAACGCCCCTCTCTCCACTTTTTTTTTTCATCAGTCCTGGGTCATGGGCTGCCATAGATGTGTACCTCAAAACCCTTAGGGCTCAGGGAGCCCATGATAAAGGCATGAGGTGTGGTTGTCACCTCTGAAGCCAGTTAGCGAAGGACCAGGTCAAGCTGACCAGGTGTCCTCAGTTAAGGTTAAGATGCCAAAGGACGCCTGGGGGGTCCAGCAGTTAAGTGTCTGCCTTCGGCTCAGGGGGTGATCCTAGAGTCATGGGATCGAGTCTCATGTCAGGCTCCCTGCATGCAGCCTGCTTCTCCGTCTGCCTAGGTCTCTGCCTCATTATTTCTCTCTGTGTCTCTCATAAATAAATGAATAATTTTTTCAAAAGAGTTTAAGATGCCAATTGTTTTATTCACCTTCTCATCACTCCCTTGGTGACAGAGAGATTCCTGCTCCAGACTTATGGGGATCATTTGACACCAGAGGGAGTGATTGACAGTCATTTACTAGTCAATACATACTCACGGGCCAGGGGAGGAGGATACCACACACCACGCAGGACTTCACTTGTGGACAGAGTGAATGATCACATGCTTCGAAGGTAAGTCTTTGTGGTAACAAGAGGGCGGGGATGGGGATCCCTGGGTGGCGCAGCGGTCTGGCACCTGCCTTTGGCCCAGGGCGCGATCCTGGAGACCTGGGATCGAATCCCACATCGGGCTCCCAGTGCATGGAGCCTGCTTCTCCCTCTGCCTATGTCTCTGCCTCTCTCTCTCTCTCTCTGTGTGACTGTCATAAATAAATAAAAATTAAAAAAAAAAAACAAGAGGGCAGGGAAAGTTCTGGTTCCCATGCGAGGGCATGGCTGACTGGTTTGTTTGAATAAAACAGTGGGCTTACAGGGAACTGAATGCTTCTATGCAAAAATCAACAGGTATTACGTCTGGTCCCTGTGAGAAGAAGGGTTTTTGGTTAGGATGTCTTCCCTGTGAGGGAAGAGGGAGAGGAGAACCTGCATTAGGTGACGTAATCTTCTCTTTGATTTTCCCAGGTGTTAGACAGCTTTTAACACTGAATCTGAATTTCAGGACTTCTGCCACACGAGGTCACGAAACAGTTATTCTTCCTAGAATGAATCATTGAATTTCATAGTGAATGTTGATACAATCAATCAATCAATCAATCAATCAATCAACACGTACAAGGGAGCTGCATTTCTCTATGCTAGCAATGAACGTGTGGGCACCACGGTCAAAAAATACACTCCTCATTACTAGCAAAACTAAAATACTGAGGGATAAATCTAACACAGCATGATCAGAGCATGCACACTGAAAGCTATTTAGCACTGAAAAGGAAGCCAAAGACATAAATAATGGAGAGATATAGCATGTTCATGAATTGGAAGACAAAGGATAGTAAAGATGTGAATTCTCCCCAGATTGATACAGAGATTTAATTCAATTCCTATCAAAATCCAAAACTTTTCTTTGGTAGAGATAGATGAGATTATTCTCAGATTTATGTGGGAAGACAAAGGAATTGGAGTAGTTTCAAAAAGAATTTTGAAAATAAAGTGGGAACATTCCACCTACCCAGTTTCAAAGGTTATCAGATATTATAATAACAGAGACTGTGTGGCACTTGCAGAAGGGCAGATACACAGATCAATGGAAGAGAACAAAGAACCCAGGAGAGTTCCCATAAATATACCCACGTGATTTTTGAAAAAGGTGCAAAAGCAATCGAGTGGAGAAGAGAGAGCCTTTTGACAGATGATAGCCACTGGAAGCTTGAGATGAAATCACAGGCCCCCAAACTCAGAAAACAGCACCAGCAGAGAAGGAAAATGGTGGTTTAACTGAGTTACTACCAGGTGGTGTTGGGAGAGGAGGCGTAGCTTGTGGACAGCTCGGGAAGCAAGTTGCAAGCACTTGATGACAGTTTCTTTCATCTTTGTGAATTGAGATACCCCCGATGGATCAATTCCACAGACTCTGAAGACTTTCCCGTCAGCTCCCACCGTGCAACCTCCGGTCCCCCTAACTGAACATCCAGTGCTCTGGACTCCACTAGCCTTCCCATTAGCATCCTCGTCAGCTGGTATGAGATGGCAAGATGGGTCTCAGGAGCTCCAAGAGTACGTCCTCCCAATCTGGCAAAAAGGAGAGCTCGCCTGGTCTAGCCACTCCCTTCCATTGGACTCCTGGAATTCATTTTGATTGGACAAACCCAGCAGCACTGTCCCCAGCTCTGAAGCCTAGTGAGGGTGGCTTTGTGTGTGACTGGCTGGGCCTCGGTATGTTTCCATCCTGTTTCAGGCATGGCCTCGCCTGATCCACACGGATTGATAGGAGGTTTTCGTTCTACGTGATAAACACAGGCTGTTGCAGAATTAAAAACGGTGAATAGACAAAAGAACAAATGTCTCCTTCAGCCTCTTGGGGGAGACGCTTCATGGTCGGCAATGCCTGCTTTTAGCTCCCAATGGTAATGTTCACAAGGGTTTCAAGTTTCAGTTTCTCTTTTCTGGACTTTGTCAGAGGGGGCAGATTAGTTGGTGGTGAACTTTCTCGGACGTCGTCTCATGGCGTTCTTTATGACCGCCCTGGTATAGTCTCATGTTTGAAGGCCTCAGACGGCCTGAGAGAGCTAAGCTTCCAGGACCAAAGTCCACTCCAGTGTCATCAAGTTCTAGCCCTTCACCAGCAACTTAAATGAGTTGGTCCTGCCTGCACGGAGCCTTTGGGGTGGCCCTCAGGGAAACACTGACCAAAGTCCTCTGAATCAAGGGCTCAGCAAGGAGCGGAGGTGATAAAGCAACAGATGCTTCTAAAGTGACAGAGGCATATCAACAGCTGCCTCCACCTTCTTCCAAGTACTCTCAGCCTCACCATCCACACCTATGAGATTTACACCTTAAACTGGTTGCCGTTACACTTATTTTTTACCCCCACCCATGGAATGTGTACACTGCTGAGCTGGGAGACTGATTCAGTGGTTTGCGTTACCCTCTTGGCAGAAGATGATTCAGAGAAAGTGGTGTATTTCATCTCACCACTCCCCCTGGCAAGGCTCCCTAACCTCAGCCTTCCCCACTATCATTTCTTCTTTGGGTTACAATGAGCTCTCTGCCCTCCATTAAATAATAAGCAAGCTTTTGATATCTAATGTTGTCATAAGATATGTGCATTGGCTTTTTATTGCTATTTTGCTTGTGCGTGTCTGTGTGGGTGCGTGAGTGTGTGTGTGTGTGTGTGTGAGAAAGTGATCCAAGGTTCTTATTGTTTGAGTATATCCATTCGGTGCTCCTGACAGAGCAATGGAACATACAAACACTCTTGTGTATCTAGAAACCGTTTTATAATAAGTCCAGTACAAAATACATGTACCGCACATCTAAATATGCAAAATAATGAAACACATGTGAACCACCCCAAATCGAGACATTACTGAGGTTCCTCTGTAATCCTTCACCTCCAGTGTCCTACCCTCCCCATTCCCTGAAGGTTGCAAATGTGATTCTTGTGGCCCCTCCCTCCATTCCTTGCTTGTCCTGAATAGTATTTTATCATATATGTGTGATTCTGCAGACATTAGTTTTGCCTGTTTTGAACTTTATAAAAATGTTATAGTCCCTTCTTTCACTGAATATTATGCTTCTTAAACTCAGCCATTGATGTCTGAGCAGCTCCGGCTCGTTTTCACTGCTACCTAATTTTCCACCGTGCCAGTTTTCCGCACATTCCTCCCCAGGCATTTGAAAGGCAATTATGTACACAAGGTCCTTATTTAGCACAATTCCTGGCGCAGAGTCAGGGTTCCAAGAACAGTTGTCAATTGCTGAGACTGTGCCCTAAGTGTTAAGAGTAACACTTGTTTCCCGCGGCTGGATTGTCTGCCTTTCGCCCCAGCTCTTCCTCCTGTGAATGACAGTTCTAAAGTATTGGGACCAGCAAGGAGAGAATTTGCATGCAGCCCGCTCACTGCGGACTACAACTCCCAGAAAGCATTGCGATGGCCTTCTGCGTGAATGGCGGTTTATTTCCTGCCCCGTAGGTAGCTTCCGGGTTGTGTGGGCGGGGCCGAAGGAACTCTCCAATGAACCGTTTCCCCGGCCGAGGGGCGGAGGGAGCGTCCAATGAGCGTCTGCGCCGAGGAGCCAATGAGCGGTAAGGTTTGCTGGGGAGGCTGACGTGATGACGTCACTGAGATGCGCCCGCTGAGCGCGGGGGAAGCCAGCCGGTTTCTCCTGCCCGGCCGGAGGTGCGCTGGTCCTCCCGGCGTCTGCGGACCCCGCTTCCTCCGTGTCCCTGGCGGGCACGGCAGCCCGGAACCTCCACGCTGATGGCCGCTAACCTGAGGACGCCCTCTTTCGCCTCCTGTTCGTCGACCTCGACAGACACGGACGACGAGGGTGTGCGCGGCACTTGCGAAGATGCTTCCATGTGCAAGAGGTGCTGGCCGGGCGCGGGCCGGGGGGCGGCTGCCCAGCGGGGCCGGGGCCTCGGGGGGAGGCTGGCGCTGAAAGGTTCCCGTCAGCTCGCGCGACCCTCGGGCCACGCCTGGGACTGCCCGCAGCGGAGGTTCGTTTGTTCCCCTGGTCGGCGTCTCCCTTCTGCTGCGAGCCGGGGCTGGGGTCCGGGCCTCCTGGGGGGCGAGGCCACGAGGTAGAGTCTTGGTGCGTGAGGAGAAGCGGAGCGTCCGCCTGTTGAGTAGGTTCCGTCGCGTCGTGGGTCGTCCTGGTCCCCTCTGCGCCTGCCGTGGGGCCAAGCAGGGCGTGGGGGGGGCGGGGGCGGGGGCGGGGGCGGGGGCGGGACGGCCCGGCCAGGACCGCGTGCAGGGGTGTGCAGAGCCAGGACCTTCCCCAGCTCCTGCCTGGATGCCACAGGAGCCTACCGCCCGGGGGGTGCTGCGGCGGCCGCGTTGGGAGCACACACCTGTGTCCCGTGTGGGAGCGCCTGAGGCTTGAGTGTCCTGCGTTCCTCCGCTCGGCGGAGATCGCGGAGAGTAGAGTGGGTGGCGGGCGCTTGCTCTCGGGTGGCCGGTGGGTCCTGGGGACCCACGATGAACAGGCCTGACGTGGCGTGTGAGGCGCTCAGCACCTGCCGCGAGAGACGGGAGGCAGACGTCACCCGTGAAGAACGGAACTGCAGCGTGCCATCAGAGCCTGTAATTGAGGCAGTACTGTGCGAGCTGAGAACAGAAGGCTGACCACCCAGCAGGGATGTAGGAGGGCGTTGGGTCAGGGCAGGGCGGAGCGTGAAGAGTCCAAGGCATGGGAAGAACGCCGCTGAAGCTGGAGCACGTGCGGACTGTCGGCGGGAGCAAGCCGAGGGTCTGGGTTCAGACCTGCGCTTTTTGTTACTCCTTGGAGATTCGGCATAGTGATGTAAAGCGCGGACTCCAGGGCCAGGCTCTCTCAGGCTGACCCGAGCTCTGCCCCTTATGGTCTGTGTTAGTTACTCCACCACTCTGCGGGCTCTCAGTTTCCTGACCTGAGAAATGGAGTCATAATAATCCCACTTCATAGATGATTGTAAAGATTGAATGGGAAATAACTAATAAGGCGCTTAGAGCCACGTCTGGCATGTAGTAGGTGTTAGTGGTGGTAAAATAAAAGTAGAGATAAATCCGTACATTAAGTGTCTAAGACTGGGGGGCCGTCTTGCAGGTTTTTTTTTTTGTTTTTTTTTTTTTAAGTTTTTACTCATCGGTGAGAGAGAGGGAGGGGCAGAGACACAGGCAGAGGGAGAAGCAGGCTCCCTGTAGGGAGCCCGTTGTGAGACTTGATCCCAGGACCCCTGGATCACAACCTGAGCCCATGGCACATGCTCAACCACTGAGCCTCCCAGGTGCCCCGAAATTTGTGAACTTTAATGGATGACACCCAACTTCATTTCTTCTTCACCTTTCCAGTGCTGTTGACCGTATGTGTAGCCCTTTGAATTAGAAATAATTTTCCTCCCATCCACTTCTACTTGCTAAGAGAATGTGAAGTGCCAAGGAAACAATCAGAAGGAAACAAAATACTTTTCAGTAGCGTATTACGGTTAGGTTTGTTTGAAACGTATTGGTGATTTTGATTTATTTGAGATTCGTCGCTAACAGTTTTTGCAAACTTGCTTACTTAAAAAAACAGTAAAAATGCTCTTATTGGATAATTTCTATAGTTTCTCAGCTCTTCTCTGCCTCAGTTTCTAATGCCCCCCCCCCCCCCCCCCCGCCGCCAGTCTGGAGACATCTAATAGGGGAAGTTTCGGGTCGGAATTGCAGGATTCTAGGGCAGCAGAACCCAGCCCAAAGTGCACATCACTGGAGCCTGTGGAGCTTTGTAAAGAACACACAGTTGCTCACATCCTATTGCAGACTCACTGAGTCTGAAGCTTCCGGGTTAGGTGCCCTGCTGTAAAGACCAGGTGTGTTTGCCATCTGGATGCATTTCATCAAAGCTGTTCTTGCACTGGGCTTTCCTCCATCTGAGAAACCTGCAACAAGCTTGGGAGAATCCGTACGTTAATGTTCTGAGACATTTTGCAGGGCTCTGTTCTGCAAGGTCTGTGATACCATAACCTGCATCTTCAGTGTAATGTAACGTGTTAAACCCTTAAGTCTCGTCAGAAAGTCATGTAATTAGTGAGGCCGGGATTCCTTGCAGGACCAGGGGCAAATAACTTCCTGCCTCAGTCCTCTCTTTGGAATGGGGAAGAGAATGGTAACCCACCTTTGGGACGTAAGGATTCAGTGAGAAATAGACACGAGGCAGTTATTAGCACAGGCTCTGGCGCAGTGAGAAACCTTCACTAAGTTATTATCGCGAGCTTTGATTTTCCTCCATTCTTTCTTTTTTCTTTTCTTTTTTCTGTGTTTTACAGAGTTTATTTGTTTTACAGAGAGTGCGTGCACGCGTGGGGGGGGCGGGGCAAAGTGAGAGGGAGGGGGAAAGAATCTCAGGGAGAGTTTGCACTGAGCGAGGAGCCCAACGTGGGGCTCTCTGTCACGACCCTGAGACAGGACCTGAGCTGAAACCAAGAGCTGGGCACTCAGCCACCTGAGCCACCGAGGCGCCCTTCATTTCCCTCTATTCTGAGTATTACTTGGTTGAAGTTACTGAACGTGTGCCAGGTGTGGGTCGGGCTGGTTCCTGCCACCCTGGGTTCCAGCCACAGCAGCCCCTAAAATAACGTTAAGAAACCAGTCAGCCTCCCAGAACTCCTACGGTTCTGCTGTTTGGTGTGTTCCCTCCTTCTGTACAGGCCCTGGGGGTGCTCAGCATGCTGTGAGCTGTCAGCTGAACAGGTGTTTGCCAGATAGAAGAAAATCGCATGGACATTTAAGCACATGCTGTGCAGGGGAACCTGACCTTGGGCTGCAGAGCGGGTAGGGTTCTGGAGCCACAGTCAGAGGTGAAGTGCGGGAAGGGCCGAGGAGTTGCTTCTCTTTCCTGTCTGGGGTTTTTGTTTTGTTTTGTTCTCCTTACCCAGATTTTATTTGCTTATTCATGAGAGATGCAGAGGCAGAGAGCATGCGGAGGGAGCAGCCGGCTCTCCCTGGGGAGCGTGATGAGGGACTCGATCCCAGGACCCTGGGACTCAATCCCAGCGCCCGCGATCCTGACCTGAGCTGAAGAAAGATCCTGAATCACTGACCACCCATGGGCCCCGGGTCGAGGGGTTTTGGGTGGGGGAGCTGACGTGCTCTGGGTTTGTTTTAGAACAATCGCCAGCAGCCACGTGGGAGACGGCGTTGGCAACAAAGGGCAGGTCCGCTCTCTTTCCTTCCCTGCTGCCACACCCCTCCCTTGGCTCAGGTCCCTTCTCTTACCTGGGCCTGTTGCAACATGTCCTTATGGTCCTGTCTGCTTCAGGTGCAGCTCCCCTGCTACGCAAGTGTTCGTTGTCCGGCCAGGGTAATGTAACTTGCGATCAGAAATCTTGTCCTGTGGGACTGGGTGACTGGACACCTCTTGATTCCCCGTCAGCCGCAAGCTTAGAATCTGCAGTGCGTGGCATGGCACACTTTGCTTTCGGTGATCCTGTCACGCTACTCTGGCTATCCCCCTGCCAGCTGGAAATCTCCATGTAGATGTCTCAGCATTTCGGCAGGTTCATTATTTCCAAAAGTATGCTCGGGATGCCCTGCCTGTGTTTTCCTCCTTGCTACCACAGCCC